TTGACCATACATCCTGGTTTAGCCAGGATGGTCCCTGATTTCAGAGGCTGGTCCTGGACGGCTGGTGAGAATTAAAATGAGCATTCTGGAAATGCAGGAAAGAGGGATGCAGTTCAATGGGTAGGTCAAGTAGCATGGTGCACCAGGCAGGCATGGCTTCTGCCTGCCTGCTCAGTGCACCATGCCACCCCAACCCCATTTCTACCTGCAGGGAGGTGGGAACAGTGGGGAGTGTCCCAGATTTCCCATTCTCCCATGTGGTCGCCCTATGCTGATGCAGTCTGCTAAGTCAGTGTTTCCCAACCAGTGTGCTGTGGCATAAGAGTGTGCCGTCAGAAATGAATGGGTGTGCCGTGAAATTTTGCCATGGCAATGAGCTACAATAGGTATGAGGATGGGGAATGCCTTAAAAAGTGTGCCGCGGAAAATTTTTATTAATGTAAGTGTACCTCAGGCTGGAAGAGGTTGGGAAACGCTGTGCTAAGTTCATTTAAGGTACACCCAGTTCATTGCTCATGCTGTTTTCAGCCTGTGATGGCCAGGGCCATACAACATGGTGCTGTAGTGGACTGACCCATACTTTTCTGCTAGTAAGATCTCCATGTGGTGCTGACCAGTTTAATGGGACTTCCATCTTATCCTATGGTCACCTACTCCTTCCACTATCTTTCTATGAAAACAATATTCCTGATGTTTATATCTTCAGTCAAAATAATAGGGGAAATACTGGCCTTTTTGATATGTACCCCTCCACTCCACTCATACATTTTTCTACAAGGATATGGTCACTCTGTGGCTTTGTCCTAAATCACTATTTAAAGTTGCTTCAAACATTCATATTTAACCAATCCGTTCACCTTCCAGTCTTTCTAAATCTTGCTCTTTGCCAGCTAAAGCAAAACTATGCTGGATAAATCCAGAATACTGGATACTGTCAGAGAGCTTACCTAGAAAGACCAGATTGAGGAGAGCCTCATGAATCCTGTTTGGATTTGGAATATAAATGAGAAATCCGTCAGTTTCCTTGAAGAGACTTGGACTGAATTTGGTCTTGGACTGTATATCTGTGTTATAATCTGTCAGAAATGGGTCCACTTTTCTCAACCTCATTAGTCTCAAGGCATCCCTTATTAGACTCAAGGCATCTCTCAGAAAATGCTAACTTCTAGCTTTCACTGGGTTTTTTTGATCAGGGAAAAATAATAGAGTACTTCAGAACGTTTTGACACTATCAGTTTGTATTTGAAATCTGAAGGTTTATCTTGTGTATCATGTAGATCAGTGATGCTCAACCTGTTGGCCCTTTGGGCTGGACGAGTGGTGCAGGGCTGGTCCACAGTTCAGATTGAGCCACACGTGCCCGGATCAGGCTCTGGGTCCTGGCACAGTTCTCTCCCTACCCCATGCAGCAGGATTGGGTCCCAGAGGCACCACCCACTTCTACCTCTGCATGCTGGGCTTGGGCCCCAGGGGTTTGACACTGACCCCTTCCACCCACATGTACCGGAATTGGACCCCAAAAGCCCTTCACTGCTTCCTTCCACTCCCCCTCCCTCACCCCCTGCACACCAGGACAATTTTCCCTCTAAGGTTTAGCAGTCTGTGAGCGTGCTGCTTTGGTCTGTTCCTGAATTGGTCTTGCCTCCCCCTTTCGGCGCGCTGAGCAACTTATTCTCACAGCATTATTTGGGAGAAAAGATTCTTGAAATACTAAACTATATATATGATATATTTTATTTTTTAAAAATTAAGAGAAACCAAATGGTCTCCCTCAGAGAACATCCTGTAATATGGTTTCCTCCCTGTATTTCTTACCATGATTTCCTGCCTTAAGCTGTTGCATGCTGTTAAACAGTAGCTGCGTTGCATCACAGAGGTGGCTGCTTTTCAGTGATGAGCAAAGTGATTTGTGGTTTCATTAATATAACATTCCATTGTAAATGCTGTGAAGTTAGGAAATGAAGACATGAGGGGCTTTATAACAACATTACGCTCAGTCACAGTGCACAGCCTGTATCTTGTATGCTGTACATTCAATAACAGATATATTGAGGCACAGCGGATACTGAAAACAAAATGTAATACAAATACATTATATGGTGTGGTGGAGTTAATGCTAGGATGAGGTCCTTATCTTTGCTAGGCTCTCATAATGATGGTGTCAGGGCTCGGGGCGAAGCTCGCCTGAAGGGGCTGGGGAGTGGAGCATTTACCCGAGCCAGGGGGGCCCGCACAGTGCCCGGTCCAGCCCCTGTCCCCACCCCTGCCTTGCCTCGGGGAGGAGCTGCTGCCCACCCCGCTGTCTCTCCCTGTGGGGATGTCGGCACAGTGAGGAGTGGAGCGAAGCCGAGTGGTAACTTACTGCTGGTCCCAGTGCCTCCGCCGCGTTCCGGGTTTCTGGGAAGCTGCAGCCCGGGTTCTTTCTGGGCAGGTACACAGCATTACAAAACTACTATGCAGCAAGATTTTTTTTTTGTGCACAGCCACGCACGTGCTCACCTTAGAGGGAACCTTGCACTAGGATCAGGTCCTGTGGCCCAATGCTGCTCTCATGAGCCAGGTTTGGGCCCTTGGGCCTGGCACCACCCACACCTGGTCCTGCACATTGTGATTGGGTGCCTGGTCCAGTGCATAGGGCCAAGGCTCCACATGGGTCTGGAAATCTGGCAGCAAGGAAGGATGCTATGGCTTCTCTACCACTGAATTTCCAGACCTGTGGGAAGCCCCATGGGCTCCATGACACAGTGCTGCAGGCCAGAATTTAAGCACTCCTAGTGTAGGTGTTTGCAAACCTAAAAGTGCTAATATTGCACAGAACTCTTGAAAGGCTCCTGTGGGCTGTTTTCTGTGCACCCCTGTTCTAGATAGAATCTAGGGATTATTTATAAGAAAAAGAACTGAGAGGCAGTTGAGGTTGTTCTTCTATCTTTGGCTTTGATGATTGCTAGACTTACAGGATGCAGGTGCAACTGCAACTGACACTGCTGTTGAGACAGAATCTGATCTTGTGTATTGAATGAATGCTCGTAGCACCACTTAAAGAGCCAGGGTTAATGGTTCTGCACTCCTTCAGGCATCCAATATCTTGCATAACTCCTTCATTGAAGTCAGTTGCAGGGACTTGTCATAGGAAAGGTCTTCGTTTAACCTGCAGAATTGAGTTAACAGCTTCTTAACTGAGTGGGTCCCTTTTTTTCTCTGCTGCAAGTTGTCGAAAAGTAGTCCTTAAATTGGGTATGAAATTGCTGTCTCAGATGATAATTTGTCAGTTCCTTCTGGTTCTTCACCTATTTTTCTCTTCCATACTGAAGTCTAAAATGAGAGATTTAACTCTCCAGTTTCTCCTTCACTAGCATAACTAAGGTAGGGTAACCAGGACAGGAGCTATGGGTGCTGACCTGGTGGGATGGGGAATTACAACTGCTGCCATAGCCACACAGCTGCACTGGCAGGATGGCAGGAGCCGGAAGTCACTACTGCCTTCATGGAGCAGCTCTTCAAGGGATCTATTTTGAAGTACCTTTTAGAGAACAAGATGATTGGGAACAGTCAACATTGATTCACCCAGAGCAAGTCATGCCTGACCAACCTGATTGCCTTCTGTGATAAAGTGATGGGTTCTGTGGATCAGGGGAGGGCAGTTGATGCAATATACTTTGACTTCAGCAAGGCTTTTGACACAGGCATGCTTCCACAGCATTCTCATTAACAAACTAAGGAAATGAAGACTAGATGACAGCACTGTAAAGTGGATTCATAACATGGTATTCAGCAAGTAGCCATCAATGGCTCAATGTATTGGTATTGTTCAACATCTCCTTTAAAGATTTGGACCAGGGGTGGCCAACCTGCAGAATGTGTGCCACAAGTGGCATGGGCAGCCTGCGTGTGGCACATGGCAGACTGGGGAGGGGACAAACAATACAGCAGCAGATAGGGCAGGGAGCAAAAAGCAGAAAAGCAGACTGGGCAGGTAGCACAGGACAAGAAGCAGAAAGCACAGCAGAAGATTGGGTAGGGGCACAGGGCAGGGAAGAGAAAGCAGAGCAGCCAATAGCACTGAGGGAGGCATGGCTTGACAAAAAGGTTGGTCTCCACTGGACACTGGGAGCAAGTGTACGCTAAGCAAATTTGCAGATAACACCAAATCAGGTAGAATTGCTGTTTGGTTTTCCACATTGTAGTGCAAATGTATTTTCAAATATTTATTTCATACAAGGCAAACAGCGTAGGCATAGTGCTTTGAATAGCTGGCAGGAGCCACTCTGAGAACACGGATGTCCAAATTATGAGACTCAACATTTCTATTTTTTATATTCATATTGGAAATGAATTGTCAAAATACATATTAACACTCTTTCGTTCTCTTCCATGAATGAGACTTGTATTTCTAAATTGGGATTGCTAGGTATTTGGGGTTTTTTGTTTCAGTATCCATATATTCCATATATTCAGTATCCAAATAGGCTTGAGCCTATTTATTTACATTATTTACAGTAGACCACAAGGTATAGATTAGCCAACAGTGTGCTCTGGTAGCCAAAAAGGTCAACAGGAACCTTTAGGAGCCATTGGGGAAAACTGGACTATTTTAAAATCATTAAAATAAAATTAGTACTTGGAAAAAATGTGTACATTTAACTGTATGTCTCCAGGGATTTTTTTTTAAGTTCTAGGAACCTTTATACCTTGTCTACAGCCTTCATGAGCTGTCAGACAATTCTTCTTTTGATGATGTTTTTAGTGTTATTCATTATTAAATATATTGATTTTAGTTTACATTGCATTTCTTTATTAAAATAAACTAATATGCATAATCTGGTATACTATCCCACTCTTAATTTTTTATCATATTTTCTTTTAATGTACCACAAAAAATTGAATTTATAGTAGCAACACTTTTAATTTGAACTTTGTGAAGAAAGTAGATAAAAGTATGGGTTTTTTAAATCTCTGAAGGCAGATAATGAGTTTTGTACTCTTTCATGAAAAATTTTAAGGTCTGTATTCATTGATTGGATGGAAGATTGGAAAAGAAGTTGTTTACTTAACAGAAGGCAATGGATCAGACACAGGCTCTACCATAAAATGGGCTCAGGGGCTAGGTAAGTGGCTTTTTAATTTTAAAGTATTATAAAATAAATTGGCTAGTAAGAGACCATTTTACAGGCTTGTGTTTGTGCTAGCAGGTTTGGCTTATTATTATTAACAGGCTGGCAGTATAGTTGCTTGTTGGACAGTCCCAATGATAGCAATTCCACATCTTCACTGCTGATACTGATTTTGTAGCTATGCTAATTTCACCTACATTTTTCCTGCTGGAAAATGTTGGAGTGTAGACCTATTTGATTCAAGTGGCTAATGAGAAGGATTGATTCCAGATCTTCTTGGAACACTCCTTTTTGGCCTTTTCTATGCAATCCTGGTTCTGCCACCAGAGTTTTTGCACGGGGAAGCTGCCACAGCACAAACACATCCACATGGCTCCACTCAGCAGATGTGCTGGCAGGGTGCAGATTGCAACCTGATAAGAATAGCTGCTGAAGGGACAACAGCAGCCAACACAAGGTGAGCATGGTTACCCTCCGCTGGCCTCTGGACAGTGACAAATGTCTCCTTTCTTTCAAAAGTTGTTGTTGCCTTGCCAGCAGAATGAAAAGATTCTGTTGCTAAAACTGTTCTATAGATCAGACCTTCTGTATTCGTACGCTGCTAGTTTGGTTTTGCCTAATCATCTTTTTCTTTGGACCAGTGATGGTCAACCTTTTTAAGCTCAAGGCACCCCTCCAAAACTTCTCTGAGAGCCACTGTTGTATTACCTCAGTTTACCTGTTTAAATAGATAAATCTAATGCGGTCCTGGAGCACCACCCTGGAGATAAATCCATAGAACAGTGATTCTCAACCAGCTGTGTCTCCATGCTGTGGTATCGCTGCTGGTGTTGTCATGGTCAGGTAAAACTGCCAGGAGGCAAATGTGGAGCCAGACAGGGAAGCAGTTCATAGCCACAGCCACTTCCTAGTCCAGTTCCTCATGGAAACAGACATGTGGAGCTGTTTCAGCTGGCTGTAGTGGCACAAGTGCTGGCATCATGGTACCCCTGAAAGGGTCTTGCAGCATCCCAGTTGAGAACCACTCTGTTGAACTGAATACGCTCAGTGCTTTTAATCTTTCTTCTTATAGTCTCTGATATGTACATCTTTATGACCTGTGTAATTTATAATCTTTCATTTCTTTTCTTGGAACATGTTATCACTTTGTGTCACCTAAACATTTCAACCAGTCTTGTCTTTTTTTAAATGCATGATACCCCAAATTGAATAGAGTAATGTAAATGAGGCCTAATTAGTGCTTAGTAGAAAAGAGACCAGACTAGAATTTTGAGTTGTAACTGAAGTTAGCTGATTGCCAGTTCGGTTTAGTTAATTATAGGGATTCTACAGACATTTGTTCTAAGGCACAAATGTTTATTTATAACATCTCAACTTAGATTTGGCTGAGTTTTTAAAATGAGCCAAGTGTTTAGGATGTACCATTATAAGCTTTGGAGAGACCACCAATCGTACAAATTTGTTAAGTATGCAGTAGCAAAGTACTGTGAGCATAGTTAAAAAAAAAAAAAAAATCGAGTCTATTCATTTCAGGGTAACTATTGTAATAGGCTTGTGGCCACATGCACCGTTAGCTTTTCCTAGGGTTCTTCAATAGAATATTGAAAATGTAGGAACATTTGCAAGTGACTAAGGTCATTATAGGAGAGTAGCAGCTTTGTTAGGATTAAGATGTAGAGCTCCTTAACATTTTAAAGAGCCACTTTTCTGAATGTCCTAAAATTTATGTATTTACTTGGATGCTTTGAAATATGATTTACTTCATAAATGGAATTTAAGGTAATGTTAGTCAACTTAATTTGGAATTAGCTAGTGGCGAAGCAATAGGACAGTAAGGCAGTCAGAGTAGCAAAGAGCAACAGCTGTGCATGGGAGAGAATCACCTGATCAAGAGGCACCGCTCCAGGGAACCGCTCCAGGGAACATAAAAGCCAGCACCCGGAGAGTGGAAAAGAGGGCCAGTGCCCTAGAGGGGCCAGGCTCTCAGCTGGGAGGAGCTGCCTGAGAAATTCTGGCAGACACTAAATGCCCTGGAGGCAGGGAGATGAGACACCCCCCCATCCCACAGGATGGCTGGCCAAATGTTACTTTGTTTATCCCAAGGTGGGGAGGTTTTCTTTTAAAGTGATAGCCTGCCTTTTTCTTCTTAATGTTTAGTTATCTAGAGCAGTGGTCTCCAAACTTTTTTTGACCGTGCTATCAGTAAAAAAAATTTTGAGCACGCACCCCCAATGTATGTATATTTATATAAATATAAATAGAAGTTCTAATATTTTCTTCCTGCACCCCCATGGATCATCTTGTGCACCCCCTGGGGTGCGTGCACCCCACTTTGGAGACCACTGATCTAGAGCAGGAAGATTGTGTTAAAACAGTAGCTTGCCTTTATGTTATAGTTTATACTGGTAGACCCAGAATGGCTACAAGGGGTAAGGAAGAAGATGCTGGAGGAGCACAAACCACAGGGGTGCCTGAAGGACTTGAGCCTGCCAGGGGCAGGGGCATGAGCTACAGTAGTGCCCAGAGGGTGAGTGCAGGGGTCAGAGCTCAAAATGTAAAAAGGCGGAAGCCAGAATGGTGAAAGTCTGATTCTGGAAAGGCAGTTGAGGTAGCCTAAAACTGGGAAGGCCAGGATCATTGCCCAAGAGGGATGAAACCAGGGCCCACGGTCTGGGCCCCAAGAGGGGTGAGACAGGCTGGTGTCCGTAAGCCAAGGCCTGGTGCAGCGGATTTAGGCTAAAAGGCCCAAATAGGGAGAGGGGACAGAGGGTGGGAAGGCTGAGGCCCCAACAAAAGTGTGGAGGCCTGAGGAGGCCTGACATGGTACTGACATGGTACTGGGGGCAAGGTGCCCCAGTGAAGTGAATAGCCAGTAATATCTGTGAGGCATGAGTGTGGCTGTAGGGGTGGACGGAGGCCATGAATAGCGCTTAAGGCAACCAGTGTCTTGGAGCATGGCTGAGGCTAGGATAGCCCACTGAGCACTTAAGGGCTGGACTGGAAGCAGCAGGGTCTGGGAGGGACCCGCCAGCTGAAACAGTTTGAGAGAAGAGGAGGGGTACCCTAGGAACCAGATCAGGGTGGGGGACACCTGGGGACATCACAGCTGTCCCTGCGGCTCGGTCCCATCACAGGTAGCATATTCCACTGCCTTTGAGTATGTGTGGGTTGGGAGAAAAGAAAAAGAGAGGAGAACACCTGGGGACTGACCGGTGACTCTGATTGGATCCCAGAGGCTTTCGGTCTCATACTTTGCCCAAGTTAGTCAGCTAGTGCAGGGTACTACTGGACTGGGTTTTTTTATGAGCTAATGAGTCAGATGTATTACTTAGCACTTTTGGTTGCTCTGAGGAGAAATGGAGGTGAATTAGGAGACAGTGGAGATATTACATAGATAACAAAAACTTCTTCCAACATATAAAGAAAGAACAGAGAAAGAAAAGAGGCTGCTATTCAGCACAGATCATATTCAACTGAGAGCAACCTACAAGTACCATCAATGTCCCAAGTCCACTTGGTGAAAAAGCATGAGAATTTGTTTTCAGCAGTCATGCCTCAACTCTGACACTTCCTCCCTGTTGAGGCCCACCAGAGCCCTGGCCTGAACATAGTTTGGACTAGATTTTCCTATTTGGACAGGCATTTTAGCAGACAATTTCTGTTGAGGGTTTTCTATTGATGCTGTAGTTACCTTTTAAGTTATGTTCTCTTGTTCATTCTTCTGTTATGCAAGTTATTCTATTCTATTATTGCAAGCTGCCCATGGCCTTTGTTGGGAAGGATGGCCTATAAATTGAATCAATAAATAAATAATAAGGGCCAGGAGACTGTGGGTCAGGAGTGAGGGACCCCAGTAGGGTGGGGGTCTGTGGCTTAGGAGTGAGGGACAGTGGCATGGGGAGAGGCAGAACACCACCATATCAGGGCTGCTCAGTGCAGGGGGGACAGCTGTAGCTGTGTGTATGTTTATGTATGTGTGTGTATGTATGTGTATGTATATCTATATATAGATAGATATATAGATAGTGGCATTTCATTTTACTTGCAGAAAAACATGGATTTGGGGGGTTTTATAGAGAATTTTAGATTCCCCTCCCCCCGAGAATTTTGGATTTTTTTATCGGAGAAAACTAGGATCTCTGGTAATCTTCAACACCAAAGAGGGCTTTTGTATTCAGTTGCTAATCCTAGCACCACATTGTCAGGTCTTAGTATGGCTACACTTTGTGCAAAACCCAAGAACAAAATGAAGGGAAAAGAAGAGGGTGTTTGGGGATCTAAACCATCTTACTGTGTGTTTAGGTCTCTGCTGTAACTTGGAGTGCTCTTAAGGACTCAGGGGCCTTTAACCTGCGAATTACAAGAACACAAAGCATTCAGCCATTCCACTTCAACCTATGACATATCCTCAAGTCTATTCAGGGGTATACCTTGAGTCTAAAAAGGTTGGAAACTACTTGTATAGAGAATAGGATACCAATATTCAGACGTGTAGTACTTGCACTTGGCCCAACAATATAGGCTTGTGGCAAATTTCTCAACATCAACTTCACTTGTTTATTCATACAGTCACTCTCATAAGTCCTATAAATATCTCCTTGACTAGAAAGATAATGGTCATGATACAAGGTCTTGAAAGTAAGAGTTTATAGAGTTGTTGGGGATATGATTGAGGGCTTGGTTCTTGAGCTGGGTAGTTTTTCATGTGATTAATGGAACTAACATAAAGGAGAGTTGTTGTTTTTTTTAGTGTCTGTAATATTTACTAGCTGGAATATTTAAACAATCTTTGGTGAAAATTAAAGATTTTTCTGACTTGGAATAATTTAGACATATAACTTTTTGTACACTCTTACAGATCTTTTTACGAATGTAGAAGATACATCAAAAATGGCAAGAAGTGTGGTTGATTCTGAAGGAGTATGTTTTGTTCCATCTTTTAGAGGTCTGCAGGTAAAAGTCGTGTCCTTAGTAATTTGATGGAAGTGATTTATGGTGTCCTAGTTAAATGCAATATCTATCAATGTGCCCATTACCATGGTGTTCTGTTCTGTTTAAGTTCTTGCTTCATGTCCATCCCTGTCGTATTTGAGGGCCAGTACAGTATCTCAGCCCTTAAAAACATTAATGAAATTTATTTTGAAAAACGATATGTGATGTAGGGAAATATTACCCTAGGGGCACTGAGAGATAGGGAATTCTGACTTGCTAAAGCTAATACAAGGAGTTTACAAAGCAAGTAACTGAACCTGCGTCTCTTGCAACTCAGTCTTGTGCCTTAACTTAAAGCATTTGTTTTATACAATTTATTTGCAAACCTTAGATCATGATTTTGAGAGTACTCAAAAATGTATTTAGGAGTTTTCCTAAATTAGTATGTGTTTCTCAACTCAGCCCTTAAGCATAGCATTAATACTGCATAACTGATTGCCATGTTAATTTAATATGTGTTTACAGGGCTTTTAAAATTTATTAATTTAATTTTTCCTATACTGTAGTTTTCAGTGGACACAAATCAGTTTTGTTAAAAATATCGTTGAAGATTGCACAATTTTTTTTTCTTGTTTCTGTCTTGGAATATTGAACACATTACTAGCTCCTTGCATTCCTTTGTTTTCCAAACAAGCTCATTGTATGTTTCTTATTCTCCCATCCATCTCTTTCACAACATTCCTTCCCCCTACCTCCTCCATAGTTTCATCGTTTCTAGGGTCAGAAGGGACCTGAGCAGATTATTGAGTCTGACCCCTTGCCATGGCAGGAAAGAGTACTGGGGT